TCAAAAGTCAGGGAAGGCCCGTTTTAAGGCTTCTATGGCATTTCAAGACCGGCCTCGATGGGATCGAAGCACAGCCCAAGGCTCGTCCTCGAAGCACTCGCCTCGGCAGGGCCTATCGAAGACTCATCATGGCGTACCTCGAGGCAATATGAAAATCGACGACCGTCATGAAAAGGCGGGAAAATCCTGAGGGCACGCGATGAAGACTGACAGAGTCTGCGAGAAATAGTATTAACCCGTACTAAACTATTATACAGCTGTACTAATAGCATTTCCACGTCATTATTAGACGTGCACCATGTTGGGATTCCCCCCTCCTATATAAAGGAGACCCTTGTCATTTTGTAAACAAGATACAACATATTGAATACAATAAAACATTCTCTGCTCTTCTTTAAACACGCTTAAATAATTGTTCTACACATTTATTGCTTATTCTTTCATTGTTCTTTTATTTTTCTTCATTTGTTGCTCATTATTAACAGCAAAAGGCCATCTTTGAGGCCTTCATTATCGTTGTTTCTTCATCAATAGCTCACTACCAACTGTCCTAAATAGGCGTCAAAGCTTCTGTTCCAGCCAGCTCGAGGCTCGGTTTTGTGATAGCTTTGGTTTGCATTTCTTATTTTCTTTACTTACACATAGCATCTATTGCCTAACAACAAGTATTAAAATAAATCACATATTTTTAGAACCACAAAATCAAATATAATTATCAATATCATTTTCAAGGTAAACATTGAGATTCATAAAACTGCTCCCTCTTTATGCAGTTAATTATTTCCTTTTTCTTCTATCTCCTCTATTTACAGGTGCTTTTGTCAATGAAATGCCAAGAAGGACAGGAAAAAGACTATACACCACATGAGACGCATCCCCATTTCATAACATGTAAATAGCTGTCAAGATATATGTAAATACTGTAAATTAAAGCATCTTGTAATATGATGCTATTATGGACACAAAAAATATAAATGTTGATCCAAAATGAATGTAAATAGGCACTCAGCATTGCGTACCTGATTCGATACTTAGATGTAGCAGTTTCTATTATCTCCATTCCCCCAAAAAGAAATGTTTAACCTATTGCAGTATTGGGCCTGTGCTGGCACGGGCCGTCCCTGTCTAGTAACATAGTATAGAAGAAACTCAATATTAGTTTCATATTTTATTAGGCTGTATTTCTATCTTTAAATTTATTTTTACCCTTAACACATAAAAAAGTCAATAACAAGGATCTCATGAAATAATTATCATTAGTGTACTCATAATGTTAATAGAATTATTTATAACACAATTTTACTTGAAAATATATATTTTTAGTCATTCCTAAAAATAATAGCCGACAAAATGTATATTTTTTGTATATAAGTGTATTATATATTGGCCAATTTTATATTTTTTCCATTTTACTTCTATATTTTGTTGTGCGAAATTTTTGTTTTGTCATTTTTTCTTCTTCTTTCCACTTACCCACATTCACAAGAATTGTTTAATTTACCACTAAACAACCATACAACAACATAAAATATTTTCAAATCGAAACATCAACCAGTCAATAATAAAGGTTTCATGAGAAATTTAGCATTAGTGTAATAACATTGTTATATATAGAAGGATTTAAGTT